ACACAGCATTGTGAATTGCCATACGTGCCTTTTTGGACACATTCTGACTTTTCACAATAGAGTGTAGAGCCCCATTCACTCTATTTCCTGCATTCACTCGTCGTTCTATATCCTTATCATATCTACCATCCCTGCTAAACACACATCCCAAATATACAAACTCATCTACTTGCTCTACCAACTATAAAAATATAACTAATAATATAAGAAAAAATTAACCATTAAATTTTTCTAACAAATTAACTTGTTTCGCCATGAAATCTGTCAAATATTTCATTTCATTCCAAAGTGGCGCCGCCCTGTTGATAGAAAAAGACGTGGACGTCCTTATTGACTGACACGAGCTTTATATTTAATTTCTGGTAACGATTCATTCTCATAAATCACTTTAACATTTCTTACACATTCTTACACAAACATCAATTAAAATTGTTTTGAAACTAATATTGGTCTCAGCAGCAAATCGAAATTTTCCACCTTCCATCCCGATTAAAACAAGTATTCGAGAAAGTTACAAATATAAACTTGACCACTAAAGCTAAAGTTCAAGATCGGATCTATACATTTTCGAAGAACAGATAAATTATAATAGGAATGAGGTCAATACACAAGGTAACGTAGTTGTGTAGATTGCACAATCTGATTGCATATCATTGATCTTTGTTATGAATTAGAATCTAATATAATTAAAAATTAAAAATTTTGTACAATCGACTTCAATATAAATTATTAAGATATAACTCAAAAACTATTGGCCAGATCTTGAACAAATCTATATAAGACCACATGTGAAGCACCAGCTTTCAAATAAAAAAAGAATCATCGAAATCGGTTCACCCAGTAAAAAGTTATGAGGTAACACACATAAAAACACATACAGTGGAATTGAGTACCGGCTCCTTTTTGAAGTCGGTAGAAAACAGTATTGTTACATTTAAAGGAACCAGGAGATGGGCAATAGCGTCTTCTTAATAAGAATTAGAAAATAGTTTGGAAAATCCAAAAGTGAACGCCTCATGAGCGTTTCATTTAATATTGATGAAAAAAATAAATTGTATTCCAGACTTTTAAAATAAATTGATTACAGAAAGTTACAAGTCAAGCTACGACAAAGGTCGGAGAACCTGTTTTCAAGATAAGTAAATTTAAAAAAAGAATTGACATCGACTGACATCACAATAACATTTGAATCGAAACTTAAAAAAAGGAGAATGGGATTTTTGGGCCTGAAGTTAACTAATTGGTTTATACTTTAAAAATTGGCCATATTTTTCTTAAGTAAAACACAAAAAAGTAGCTCTTTTTACAATCTAGATTTCGAAAAAACAATAAAATAAGAAATAAGATAGAAAACCGATTGTACTGTATTATTTATGACAATAAATCTCGGTTCTGAACGTTGTCTTCCAATAGAGTACTTCTCATTTTGAAACTTGACTTGACAGTTCAAACTTCAAACTATTTACTTAAAAGAAAAAGACAGATTTTCGATTCGATTTTAAACGAGCGCAATATAATCGATTCTCGATTAAATTGAGCATTATAATCTAATCTATTTTCATTACTTTGCTTTGTTAACTATAGAGATTAAAAATTGCGTACATACCTACAAAATAATAACAAAAAATACAAAATATCAAAATTCCAACAAGTAACAGTTACAACAACAATTCATAAAACAGATCGATATATCGGTAGGTAATAGATAATCTCACTTTTACTTATTATACAATAACTCAGATCCTAGATTGACAAATCTTGCAGTATTTTTAGTTTTGAATTGTTTATATATACGCTTTCAAATGGTCCTACTTTCATCTTGTTAACACTTGGGCCCAAGAATGTATGGAGACGTCTCCTTCTCCTTTCTAATGTTAACAAAAATAAATCGATTACACAACGTATAAAATCAATACAGGCTGTATGGTACATTTGTTCTTGCCTATCAAGGGCTAAAAAAATATGAAATTTCCCTTTAATTTTTTAATAGCAATAAAACTTATAAAAGTTGAAAATCATTTTATTAACAAACTGCGCGTACTAGGCTATTGATTTGAAATCCCTATTTCCAGTTGATGTAATTCTGAAGCTAATAAAAAACCCGGTCTCGATACGTCAATATTTTTCGGGAGTTATCGTGACCACATACAAAATCAACATCCACGTAAAACAATTTCAACTCGTTTTTTTTTTCAAAGTAGCAAATAAAATTATCTTTTAGAAAATATAAGATGGATTAATTAGATCGTTTTCTTGATATACGGCAACTCATATTATTGTATAAGTGCAATATGGTTATGATAGAGGCTTTTTAAGAACACAAAATTGCTTGCACAATAAAATGCTTCGCATTATGAGGCGTGCAATAAAAAAACTGCGGTTGCCAATCTGCTAGCCAAGCTTGACAACTATGGCATTCATCCACCTTTTGAAGCAATTCTTGTGGATGCCTTTGTTTAGCAGTGGACTTGATAGGCTTTAATGATCATCATGAATCGTAACAAGTTCTCAAGTTCAATGAGTTGGTTAATTATGACGATAGTTATTATGATATTGATGACGTTTAACGGCCGATTTCAACTACGTACTTACTCCATATTCAGACCAGTTTTTGAGTTTCTTTGTTTCTGCGTTTAGGATTAAGATAGGAGACCCTTATGTATTCTGAATACAAAACCTTAATTTTTTTCCATAGGATAAGTTAAGGGTGATAAATGGGTAGACAATCCACCTCATAGTACATGAATATTTTAGCCCATAGACACTAGATAAAAAATATTAAAAATGTACTGAAAAAAAGATTATAATAGAAACGTAACGAAATAGTATTTTTTTTTTCATTGAAACTACATTAAATTGTTTTTGATATATGCAAGCAATAAATTACGAAATGCTTTTTTGCATATGTGATTGACATTGTGATTAATCTTATTTTTTTAGTCAGGTCTACTAGAAAGACCTTAATTTTAAGTAGCATCGGATTTAATCGCTCATATTTTACACTATAACCAAAATTCATCAAACTTGGTCGGTAAGTTACATGATTTTTTTATATAATAATGATAACAAACGAGCACACAGTCCACCTGATGGTAAGTGGATGCTGTTGCCCATAGACATCTACATTTATCCTCAATTATGAATCAAAATGCAGATGCGTTTTCACCCCTGAGGACTGAGGTGGAATGTCTCGTTTGCGGTAATGCGGTTCTCTACACTCACCATACGAAACACAGCAGCATTAAGCTGCTATTTTACGCTGGTATTCTATGAGAGCGTGGTCCCATACTACGAGCCGACCCATTCGTGATGCAACCACAATATAGGTGCAGCATTGCTCTATTACGTAAATTTAACAAAAAAAAAACAAGTTTAAAATACGTACCGTCACCATTACAGCCATTAAAAGACCACTGTTAGTAAGCGGTTGGCAGCCGCAGGTTTATTTTTAAGTTGTTATTAGGAAGACTCTGCAGTCCATTTGGTTTGTGTCCATTTGTCACCTCTTACGACACCCACGGGACAATATGAGGTTGTAGATATTCATAGATATCATTTACACCGCCACTACATGAATGAAAATTAATGATACGTATTTATTAGTATTTTCATGAAAGACAAGTCCATAAATGTAGATGTGTCTTTTCTTTCTGTATAACCCACGTTGCGAGTTGTTGGAAGAAATAGCTCTGCACATCATAACTGATTGTGGACCCTTAATGCGCAAACGTAATACTCATCTGGAAGACTACGTACTTCGCCCAGAAGAAGTAAAATTGCTCACAGCTAAGCAACTCCTTCTATTCATTTTTGTATTTTTTTTTATTTCTAAAAACGTTACCCCCACACTAGGATTTACTCCTGTATCGTGGAGGATCTCTGATATCTCTGGATATCTGTTTACAAACATAAATTGCACAAGGACAAACATCCAGACCCGGAACAATTATTTGTAGGCCATACAAATACTTGTTCCTTGCGGGATTCGAACCCGCAGCCCCAACGCTTGAACTCATTGCTAAGCCACTGCGCCACGGAGCCGTCTAGAAGGCATAGACCTTAGCAGTGAACAATAGCTATAGAAGCGATTACAATAGATCTTATAGATCGCAGTGACATCTACTGGTCTTTCTAGACTTGTATAACTGCTTGCACAAATAAAAAAAAACAAGTTGCAGCATCCACACTAAAAGAATGAACACAATCTTACGCTTTGCACCTATCGAAAAAATATCTAACAGATTTTACAGTCCTCATTTCCCTGACAGTGTATTAAGGGATCAACTTAAAGTGAACATTACAATCCCTGTAATTTAAAAGGAAGCCCTTGCCATGTAAACAGATATATCGACATTTGTACTTGATATCGTCGTATAGCATTAAGTATCGTATAGCATAAAGTCGCGAATAGAGTTTCACGAGGAAACAACACTCAATGCCATCCTAGTTAGTTCGAGTTCCTCTGTGAAATAATGTCCTCCGGACCGTATTTCAGTTACAGCCGCCATTCTCCGTTGAGATAGGAGACAGGATTAGTGTTCAAGTGTATGCAAGCATAGGTGCACTCTCTATTCCTTCACTCTCGTAGTCCGATAGGAAGGCAATTCCTGACTCCAGGCTGCAACTGAGAATCTATTTATAGAAAATCCCAATATTTGGCTAGGCCCGGGATTCGAACCCGGGATAAGCAATCGCGTCTACGACTATTAAATCAAGATGCAGTCGGCAGTATGTGAACTAATAAGCAAATGAAATAAGTAAATCAGTATAATTAACATAATTCATCAGATTTTTGTTCTGATTTTTAATTATCCTTCACCTGTCGCGAATATTTGACAAACGGTTTGTTCACGGCTGATGTAATAGGAGCGGCCCGTGATGAGACCAGGTTTCACAATAAGTCGGTCTGTCCTCAAGGTCGCATCTTCTCGACTCCAGTACAACGCCATTCATAGCTAGTTGGAAGCTCGTCGCGAACGTGTGGCACTAGTGGTGAAAAAATGAGGAAAGCTTTTGTTGTATTACTTTGCGCCTGCGCTGTCGGTGAGTAACGAACTTTACGTACCGAATTCTGATTTTGCGTGTGTTGATATGAATTACGATTAGTACTACTTTTTGTGGCTAAAAGCGTATTCGAATTCCAAAAACATGCGTATGTTTTGGTAAAAATAATGTATCACATTTCAAATTCCTTTAAAAATGAATGGTATTAAAAATAATCACATAACTTAAAAATATTTTTAAATAAATATATGTTTTAAAAGTAAATATAACACATTAAATATTGAAATGGTTTTAAAATATCATAGATTCATTTGGATAAAAAAGAACTTAGCAGTAAGTAACCAGAATTAATATTCCATGAAATAAATTTAACAGCACGCGCGGTTTGTGATAAATAACAGCTTTATTAAAATTATGTGTACAAATTAAGAAGTAGACATATTATGAGCATTTGACTAATTACTGAAGTATAATAAAACACAAAAAGAATTTCAAGGTTATTATTTAAATGATTTATACTTACGCAAACACTACACATTGAATAAAAGTAGTTTCATTTCATAAATGCAGAAAATTAAAAAGTAAAAAAAAAACAAAATACGATTACAATCATTTAATGAATTCAAAAACTCTATTTTTTATATTTAAATAATAAGCCTCTATCTTATTTACCTATTCTTTCAGTTAATACGTTTTCCACCTCGTCTTTTTCTTTCTAATAATAATACGTTTTCTGTGTACATAATGTCTATTGTATATGTGGTGGTGCAGTTATATTATGGTTGTAACATGAAAGGGTCGGCTCATACGGGGAATGGCCACGCTCTCACGGAATACCAGCGCAAAATAGCAACTTAATGCTTAATTATGTGTTTCGTATGGTGAGAGTAACGAACCGGAGAGCCAATTCAAACGAGGTTTTCCATCTTAGTCCTCAGGAGTGACAACTTATTTTGATTCTTAACTGAAGATAGGTGTAAATGTTTTTGAGCCACAGCATCCTCTTACCATCAGGCGGACATTATGTTCATTTGCCTCCCTTATTTTATAAAAAACGTTTTAAAATTAACACATTATTGTTTACGATTTTCGTTAGTATTTAAAATACAAATAAAAACATTGATATTTTAAATATATGTAGAAACAAGTACTGTTTCATCGCCAATGACCTTGAATTTAAAGGACAAGATTATCTTATGCATAAACACGTCGTGGTAGCTATTTATAACATTTATTTAAAAGAAATCTTGAATATCATTCGGCCATACCAGACATAAGCCAATAAATTTCCATGCAATGTTAACAATATTATTCAGCTATGAAATAAAACAAAATTAATCACATAAAATAATGTTAATAACTTTTAAAAAATTAATAACTTGGAAAACAAGCCGTAATATGTTAGAGGTTATGATATAAAAATATTCATGATTAAATGTCATCATAATTTGTAAAGTCAATGAGAGTATGTCCCTCAATTACAACTCAACTTCTAATGAAATACAGGATGAAAAATATTTTAACATGTAAAAAAAAATATATTCTCTATATTATGAATTCGGCTCCGTGGCGCAGTGGCTTAGCAATGAGTTGTTACGTTGTGGCCGCGGGTTGGAATCCCGCACGGAACAAGTGCTTATTTGTATGGCCTACAAATAATTGTTCCGGGTCTGAATGTTTTTTCGGGCAATTTATGTTTGTAAACACAATACAGGAGAAAATCCTAGTGTGATGGTAACGTTTTTTAAAAAACAAATTAAAAAAAATTGCATTTCTAACGTAGTTTATGGTGTCTATAATATGGATTAAATAAAATAAATAAATAATGTCCTCCTGACCAATATAGGTCACGGCGTGTGTTTTATTCCCCCACTGTCAGTCCGATGGAAGGGCAATCGGACACGATCAGAATGAGATCAGGCGCAGGAACACTGACTTTACATGCTTTCCGAGACACGAGGGTAAAACACCGCTAACATCGTGACTCCGGGCTACTGAGAATTTCTTTTTTTTTTAAAAACGTTACCCCAACACTAGGATTTTCTTGCACGAGGACAAACATCCAGACCCGTAACAATTATTTGTAGGCTATATAAATACTTGTTCCATGCGGGATTCGAACCCGCGGCCCCCAGCGCAACAAGTCATTGCTAAGCCACTGCGCCACGGAGCCGTCAAAATTTCTCGACAAAATACCCAATAACCGATTTTTAGCCCGACCCGGTATACGAACCCGGGACCTCATGATCAGGAATCGCGCTAGCGACCAATAGACTATGGCAAGAATATACAAGGCAGTCAGTTATCAAATAAATAAAAATTAACACTATAGTTTCCTTTCACAAATACCTTTTGCTTAAAGTGAAAATTTCAAACAAAGTACGAAAATACTTTAATTAATATTTATACTTTAACTAGCTGGCCAGGCAGACGTTGTTCTGCCCTCTCCGACGACCATGTGTCCAATAAAAATTCTTAAATTCGTAATAAAAAATATTGAGGGTCACTTATACGGATAAAAACTATCCTATCTCTCAAGTTGGACCAAAATGCACACAGTGTGCAAAATTTCATTGCAATCAGTTCATCGCGGACAAACAATGTGACATGTAATTTTTATATATAAAGATTAAGGCTGATTATTAACACTTTATAAATCACCGTGTTTATTCGTATTGCTACTACGACTACGCATGGCTTAATGTTACTTGAAGACTTACTGCGATTTTTCGAATCCAAGCTACAGCCAATATTGCATAATGAAACAAATGATTGCTTGTCGTGTCTGAGTGTATTGTCATTTTACTCATGTTTGAGACTCGGATAGATTGCGGACTAATGAAAGTGCTTCTATATCTGACTCCTTGACATGCACTACCGTGTAGTGGCGGTGTTAGAATATCCATTGAACCATATCACTCCGCGGGTGTTGTAAGAGGTGAATACGGGAAACTGAAGCAGGAGTTGTCAGCAGCATCAGCCTGATAACAATGGGAAATAATACAGAAACTGTGGATGTCAACCCTACCAAGCATGGCAAGCATGATAAAATCAGGCAATCTATAAAGGAGGCCAAATTTCAGCAGCGACTTTTGATAGGCTGTAGGTAATGAATAAATTCCTAGTCTTCGCGCATCGGACACGGGGGCGTCCGTTGCGCAGGTGTAGTTGGAGGCTGCGGAGGAAGGCGTACCTTGTGTTCTGGTGCGCCTTAGCTGAGAAGAAGATGGGGGAGGAGTAGTCCTCTTTCGAGGAGGGGCCGCTATGGGGCGGCTGGCGCTGGTGAGGCCGCGGATGTATGCGGAAGCGTTCCCGTGGCCCTGCTAATATGCGGAAAAGGTGGAGCACCATGGGGTTTTTGTCGGTGTGAGAATAAATTATGCCATCAAAAACATAACTTGTAAAAAAATAAAGGTAATTAGCTAACCTAACAACATTTTATAGTGACCACATCAATATTAAAAATCTTAGATTAATGATAACCTATCATTAATCTATGACTAAAAATCTTTTATATTTTAAATAAATAAATTGACTTGGAAAACGCACTAAACAATCTAATTTAATATAATATGATGTATTACAGAGAGATACATTGTGTTTTCATTTCCTTAAGTAGGGACTGAATAAATTAACCGACTTGTATTACATGGATCTCACAACTTTTTACGGTAGAAGAACTGAGTTGCGAGACTTGGTTTTTTTTTTACAAGTTATGTTTTTGATGGCATCTCATTTCTTTTTATAGGTAGTTATATCTAGGTACCTATCTACACCTATTATCTTTATATATAAAAATTACGTGTCACGTTGTTTGTCCGAGATGAACTCTTAAACTACTGAACTGATTTCAATAAAATTTTGCACACTGTGTGCAGTTTGGTCCTCTATTTTTTTATTGCTAATCTCAGGAGTTTTTTTAGGAAAGCAAATGGTCGTCGGAAAGGGCAGAACACCGTCTGCCTGGTCAGCTAGTTTCATTATATTATACATATATAGGTACACTGATTCATTGTCATCATGTTACTTTGTAATCCTAAATATTTATATGGGATTACAAAGTTATTTATGCGGTTGGTGTATCTCGAAAACTAGACCGAAATTGCAAAATATTTTAGTTTTTCCTGGATTTATATACTAAACAATAATTGTATTCCAAATTTGAAGCTTCTATGTCTGCTAGAAGTGCCTTAGAGTTTTGATGATCGGTCAGTGAGTGAGTGACAAAATTAAGAAACTTTGACTAGTTATAATTCTTAAACTACGAGTACTGGTTCAAATTTAATGAAATTTGAAATATACCGAGTTTATACAATGCCTACTTGGTTATTGAAAATTCAGGCTCCTGGTTTTATCCACAACGAAGTTATAGGGTTTCGAAAATGGCCTGAACTGCTTCGAGAAAAGGATGGTACGGCCGTGCCGCTTTTTTGCTCGACTTGGCGGGGGCACTGCCGTGCCCCCAGATATGCACCATGCAGTTAAAAACACGATGATAGTATTCTGTATTATCGCCGTGTTCGTAATCAACAGCGTAAACATCATAATCATTCGGCAATCAACATCCGTATTTGGCAATACGAGTACGTGTAATAAAGAGAAACAATATTAAACGGGACTCACATCTACATCACAGCTTTCCCTTTTGTTTTATTGACATTTCTCTTACATTATTCATACAGAGAATACTGACGACATCGTTTATTCTTGTACCATTTTGATTTTAAACTTTAATTTCGCGATACATATGCTAATTTAAATTAACTGAACTATAGTTATTATGTCAAATTAAACCTAGTTTAATTGATTTTTTAAATAGTTAAGATTACCTGTTTGTGTAAAATATTAAAACATGTGCTTAATATGTTTATCTTAACGCTATTTACTCGCTAAGCCTACATCCGATCCCATCGCCTAAGATGCATATCGTGAGAGACACTACTACACTACTTCTAAATACATCGAACGCAGGGATTCCGATAGCTGTCATTATTATATCATTTCAACTTTACGATTGTCCACATTATTGGAACCCAGTATATTTTATATCGTGCTCGTAAATTTAATTTTAAGCTATTCAAATATGTATTAAATAATATTTTTATTCAGATTTCCAAAAACGTTTTCTTTGTTTAATAATTTTTATAATAATATAATTTGTGTATAATATTTATGTTAATGATAGAATATCAATATTGGCATATTTTAATCAACAATCAACAAACATTTAATGTAATGCACTTGTAAGAAATATTAATATAAAAGTTTTTGCTTTGTGCACCTGTCTATATTAACTTTAACTATGCCAAATCTCACACTCATCCGTGTGCGCAATATGCTTAAAAATGCTATGTACATACTGTACCATATACCAGCTAGAGTATAATATTTTAACACGTCATTTATTTTCTTATCAACAGCAAACGCGCAATTTACGGATTCAGGAGAACACGTAGCGGCTTTTGAAGAAAGCTTAGATAATTTTGCGGATCCCGGACTTGGAGCGGCAAGTTTTAGTGAAGTAAACGACATTGGCGAAGGTGATACTAGGACAGTCGGCCTCGAAGATTTTAACGAACCTAGATTTAATAAGCCCGGGGGTAGAGCCTACGATGATGATAGTGAGGTTATAACTGGTGTTACTGATTCATACAACCAAGCTTACGGTCAGTCGCCGCCAGACTTTGGATCCGCTCCAAGGCCAACAAATGTGAAATGCATAGAGAAAAATGATCGGTACACAGTACCTGGAAGTTGTGACAGATATATTGAATGTTTGGTACGTATCCATTTTAAGTTGTTGTAATAGGCTTTTACACCGCTACTATATGGAAACGCCGTGTATTGGCGTTGTAAGAATCAAATCTCCGATATCCATTAGCCCATATCGTACCGTGGATGTCGTAAGAGGCGTCAGAGGGAAACAAACCAGTAGATGGGCAGCAGCATTAGCAGCATTATACTAACTGAAGCATATAAAACTGCAGTTGCCAACCCGACTACTAAGAGTGGCAACTATGGCAAATATTTCTCCTGTGAGGCAATCAATGGGGAGTTATATGTTCAATAGTGGACTTTCAATAGGCTATACTCGTAACAGTAATGGGTCCATTATTTGAAAATTTCAAATTTCTGAGCCTGATTCTACTGTTTTTCAAGGGATTTTAGAGATATTTTTAGAGAAGTTTAAGGATTGTGTGCAGTGCTGACAGTTAGCGCATTCTTGAAAATGAGTCCATTACCTGCTGTGGAATATAAAAAGATTTCTAACCGTCATCTGCATGAAATCAGTTTCTGCAGAATGTCCTCAAAAATATTATTACTAACTTATATAGCAGTAAACGAATATAGCTAAGCCACTTGCACGGAGCCGTCAATTAGTTGTCACCAGGATCTTAAATAAATTTTAGTTATTTTTGTTTTGTTACGCTAATGAAGTATAACTTTCTACGCGCGTACATAAGTACACACACACGTTTTCTTATTTGAATCAAACACTTTTCATGCGCGAATTTTTTTGCGACTTACCTGTATGCGCTATACGCAGTACCAGGTGTACCTAGGTAGACCAGGCAAACAGTCAACTATCTGCTTATTGAGTGTACTGATACTTTTCAACAAAGTTTCATGATGCATCAAATACTTCATGAAAAATGCGTCATGAGCTCTCAGACCAACATAGTGCCGTAAATATTGATGTAAACAGAGGGGCATTAAATAAACAACAAACAAGCATAAAGCCTTCCTTCTTAGGTACTAAAGATTTTCGGTTTTACTCATAAAATTCGACGTTAAGATAAGAAAAAAGTTGCTGTTGCTCTCTTCACTAAATGACAATAAAAAGAGACAGATATAGAGATAATTAATACTTAAATGAATGACAATAAACGATTATAAGGCCATAGCTCACTATATTGTTATGTAATACACGGTAGTGAATAATTAAACTGTAATGGCAGTGTAAAATATCCACTACCCCATATCATCACCGCGAGTGTACGTAAAAGGCGACAGGGGGAAACAAATCAGGAGATGGGCATCAGCGTTATTAGGAAATCCTAATAACGTCTAAAAATAAAAACTGCGGTTGCCAACTGTTGTTAACAGTGGTAGAGCCACGCGGCAGCTTTTGCTGTCGCACGGATGGGCTGGTTCGAACCGGGGTGGTACCACGACCTCACAGAAAACCAGCGTGAAGTAGAGGTTTACCTCTGCGTTTCGCATGGTGAGTGCAGGTGGCCGAAGGCCCTTTTTACTGGAAATGAGGCATTCCATCTTAGTCCTCACGGGTGACAACGCATTTACATTTTGATTTGTAATAGAGGATAGATGTAGATGTCTATGGGCCGCAGCAACCACTTACCATCAGGTGGACTGTGTGCTCGTTTGTCACCCTTATCCTATAAAAAAAAACCCCCGCTTGCCAAGCGTGGCGACAATGTCAAATATGAAGCAAGGGGGAGGCCTATGTTCAGCAGTGGATTTTAATAGGCAGTAACAGTAACGGTACTTAGTTATTGTAGTTAATCAACCTTTATATCCGAAATTATGTTTATATCTGTAAAAAGATGCAAAGATGGATGCAATGTTAGATGATGCAAAGTCGGCCACGGAGCACATCAAATACTATAAATAAATACATGTACACATAACATTGTGTGGGGATTTGCCATTATCAACATGATTGGTAGGAACATTTTTGATCACATTTCTAGAACTTTGACGCTGTTCTTCGTCGTCGGTCTGAATATTTTATATCTGATACAAATACTAGATGACCATGATGCCGATGTTTATCGGCGGCCATTAGATTTTTTTGATATTTTATCTTAAATTCACTTACACCACAACCTCACTGTGGTTTACAAATATTGTTTCTTTTTAAGATCTGATGACCCTAAATGAAGCGGTTGAAGTTCGGGAAATAATGGTGACGAATGACGATCAGTCCTTATGCGATGAGTATTACAATGCTTATTCGCTTCGTCTTCAACCACCGTATAATATTTTTTCAGGGTGAAAGTCATGTCCAGATATTTATTATTTACGGGTTAAAACGGACTATGACAGTTTTTAGGTTAAATATAACTACTGACATTGAATTTTTGCTAAATCTCAAATTTTTTCAAACGACTTCAATAAAGGAGGAGATTCTTAATTCGTCGAAATATTTTTATGTATGTTCACCGATTACTCAAAGACGCTTAAACTGATTTGTAAAATTATCTTTTTTCTTTCATAGAGTATAATTCCCAGGTAGAATTTAAGGTTTTAACAGTGGTAGAGCCACGCGGCAGATTTTGCTGTCGCACGGATGGGCCGGCTCGAACCGGGGTGGTACCACGACCTCACAGAATACCAGCGTGAAGTAGAGGTTTACCTCTGCGTTTCGCTTGGTGAGTGCAGGTGGCCGGAGGCCCTTTTTACTGGAAATGAGGCATTCCATCTTAGTCCTCACGGGTGGCAACGCATCTGCATTTTGATTACGAAACGAGGATAGATGTAGATGTCTATGGGCCGCAGCAACCACTTACCATCAGGTGGACTGTATGCTCGTTTGTTACCCTTATCCTATAAAAAAAAAAGTTAAATTTTATCGAAGTCAGTCGAGGGGTTTTAAAAAGTCAACAATAAATTATATTCATATTGAAGTATATTCTACAAAATTTTAAATTTACCACATTTTTAAACAGAACGGAACCGCGGAAGAAAAGGTTTGCCCTGACGGACTCCGCTACAACCCAAACGTCAAGTTCAATGTGTACCCCTGCCAGTATCCGAACGAAGTGCCATGTCTCGAACGTTCAGCACTACGTAAGTATTCATAGAAATATTTAAAATAAATGTATATTATGCAAGTAGCAATCATATATTATCAACCGATTTGAAAAATGCATCAAACAACACCCATATTCAAATAAAAGTTTTAAGAACCACGACGGAAAAGACATTTGAACATACAAAATAAAAAAAATACTTTGTCGTCGTTCTATGAAACACATTTCGTTATACACTGTGTGTTTATAAGATCTAAATCATTCATTCGTTATAACCTAACAAAAGTCCTCTTCTAAACTTGGTCATCCCCTTAGATTGTCTTAAAGAGCGGAATTTGCCATAGATACCACACAGATAGGTTGGCCATTTATTATTATTTCAAATTGTTGTTAGTTAATAGATAATCTCATAACTGTTTCATTACACAATCATAATACAATCAAAATTAAATGATTGCACGCCTCATAACGCGAAGCGTTATTGATGTGTTTTACTTTTGACACGTCAAGATCAGGCAGTTTTGTGTTCTTAAAATGCCTCTATCATAACAATATTGCACTTATACGATAATATGAGTAGCCGTATATCAAGAAAACACTAATTAATCCACCTTATATTTTATATTGCTACTTTGAAAATAATTTTACGGGGACGTCCAGATGTTGATTTCGTATGTGGTCACGATAACTCAGAATTACATTAACTGGTTTCCTATTTCATATCAATAGGCTAGTATCCGTATTTTGTTAATACAATTATTTTCAAGTTTTGTAAGTTTTACTTCTATTAAGAATATAAAGGCGCTATCATATATTTCTTTTAGCAATTTATAGACAAAGGACAAATGTACCATACAGCCTATATCGATTTTATACGTTGTGTAATCGATTTATTTTAGTAAACATTTTTTTTATGTAGATAACACTACCTGTTAAAATAATAGAGCGCTAAATTTAATACACTTAAATAATATATTTTAAAAGTCAGTAATACAATTAATTTTTCATTAAAATTACTTAAATGAGAAATTTAAGTTTCGATTCAAATATTATCGTGATGTCATTCGAGGTCAATTCTTTTTTAAATTTATTTATATTGAAAATAGGTTCTCCGACCTTTTTCGTAGCTTGACTTGTATGACAGCCTGTTTAACAGGCAACAATAAAGTAAATATAGTTTATAAAACGAGATGGAATAGAGTCATAGGCTACACAGATCAGCCACAAATGTGGCAGTAGCAGTCATCGCCCTCCTCGACTATATTATAGGGTAGTGAACAACCAGTTATATGACGCCACGGCAAGCAAAGACAAAATACCATAAGGTCGTTTTAAAGCACTCAGCTCCAATGACCTAACACCTTATTAAATAAATAATTAAATTATGTCCTCCAAATTGAATTACGGTCATGATAGCTAGTCTCAACGGAGACTATCCATTTGCACAAGACCGGATTATAGTGCACAAGTATAGGTGCACTCTGTATTTCCTCACTCTCATAGTCTCATGGGACTCAACCCAACACGACCGGAGAGAAATTAGGCGCAGAATAAAAAGCTTTAAGTGTTTTTAGAGGCACGGGTGTGAAACCGCGCCAATTTCCTGACTTCAGGGTGGACCTTACATTACTTACGATACGATACGACTTACGACCATTACGCACCGACACAGAGGCATTACCTTTGCTAATTGCTGCTATCTGCTAACCAACACTGAAATTTTTATTTCCTTCTATTCCTTTTATAGACTTAAAATTATTTATTTTATGTGTATCTTTGCATTTCGTTTTATCCAATGTTACTCGTAATATTGATGATTGTATCTTTTATCTACATATATCTTTTTTTTATAAATAAAATGATAGAGGTTTGCAGTTGTGCGCGCATCACGGAAAAACTACTGGATAGATTTCAATTAGGTTCTCTAAGTTTTATTTCTCAGACACTGCCCCTATATAAAAACAATTTTGTGATATCGTCATTTAATATAAAGTTATTAAAGTTTTAAGAAACAACGATTTTTATAAACACTACGTGTTCAGTGTTGTGTGTAAACAACGCGAACGAAGCCGCGGGTATCAGCTAGTATTAATTATTATTAGTTACATGTATGTATTTGCTTCACTATTATTATTCGTAATCAGCAGTTCATACACTATTATGATGGGTACCGGAAGTACTGGCTGCTATTCACCTGATTTACATCAACTCAATTGTAAAACCGGTTATACAATAAAATTTACTCAAATAATAACTATATAGATAAATATAGTTTTGAATTAATAAATATAGTTATAAATAAATACATTTCGACATATTTTACTATTCTAAATATAAACCATTCTGAGGGGTTGCTATGGACGATAATCCGTCACCCTATTTCATACCGTGGGCCTGGTAACAGGCGATTACGGGAAAGGCCAGAGAGGTCTCATTACCTACGAAACGTAGCAGTATTCCATAAACCACTTTGTTAAAATCAGTGCAATCTCCGATCCATTCCACCGGCCAGGCGTGGCGACTAGGGCATATCTTTATCGTAATGAAAGAGACCCATGTCCAGCAATGGATTGCCATGGGCTGGAATAAAAATATTATAATTCATAATAAAATTGAAATAATAAAATTATATGACCGAACATCTATTTAAATGAACACCGCGCCATAACCCTAAATTGTTTTTCAAATATCACATCAGTTTTACGAATAACATTTTCCTCGTCGATCTAATATAACTGGTTTGATAAAAAAATATAATATTCTCGGTCGCGCTTAGTATTTTGTTGTTATACCGATCTTTTCTTGAACGACAGGCCACGCAGAAAGTTTTGCGACACAAATATTATTGTATTGAGACACTGGACAGCTATAATTTAATACGATTGTTTACGAATAAAAATACTAATGTTCCAATTTCAAATTTCCCTCCTCAAATTTTGACCTAAAATCCATTTTTAAATGAAACACGACACGGTATTACATGTTTTATTTAAAAATGGATTTGCGTCGGTTATTTTCACCCGCGTAGATTTTTATTTGATTGTGAGACTTCAAATGGGATTTATGGATTAAGATTCTTAATAAGCAATGGTGTAGCAATGATATGACAAAATTCAGCACGGCCGACTAACTTTGAGATGAAAGGATAGAAGTGGTCGCCCTTTGACGGGAGTTACGTAAAGAAACTTGATAGCAGTGTAAAATTAATTGAATGAAATCGACGAAATATATACGAAGTGATTCAGCACATATTGCAGATTGGATTACCTTCGGCGAGGAGAATAGTTTTGCGCCTAGAGCCGCACAACCTCATTGATGCTTAGAGGCAGGCCCGCGTCAAATGATGCCGTGACATGATTTATAAATTTGAAGCAGGCTTGTCTGGCGTGTTAACGACATTATTACACGTTATGAATTTTGCATTCTTAATACGATCCAGAAATGAAGCACCGGGCAACGATTTGGCTGTTTCAAAATGAACCAACGTAGTGAACTGATCGACGAGCGCGTGAGGGATTTTGATTGATTGGGTATCAAGTGTCAATTTCTTTATGAAATCGAGGTAGCATCAGTGCCGTATGGTATACTACCAAATGTGGCAAACATTTGGTAGTATACCATACGGATGATAAGTGTTCAGCATGACAAAGTCTGCTTACTCAGCGCTCTAAGCAAGGGACTTCTTACAGCACTAGTTAAACTTTTGGGTCATACTCCTTACAGCCTTTATATTTTCTAAAATAAAAAATCGACTTAAAGGGATACAGTCTCCATCGGCGCAAGATGCGCTAGCAGCGTTCGACTAGGCCCTGAGGAAGCTAAGGCGGACTGGAAAATATTTTAATAATTGGTTAAGCCTTATGAAACTTCCTTTGAATAAATTCAATAATAATAAAGTTTATTCTTTTCTCTCCCAAATTTAGTAATTAACATAAACATATAACTTAATATTAATATACTACAATCAATTTGTGAGATACTGGTGTCCGTACTAGGATTCCCTGTATATAAACTCTATAATCATATAAGTTCTTTAATTTTGCAACAACAGTAGGAAATAAGTCGCTGCCCAGCCCTAACGCATGATGGCGGACTTCGCAAGTCCTCGATATACTAACAATTTCTTAAACATACAGGTTTCCTCACGATTTTTACCCTTATCACTGATCACGTAGTCTGATTTAATTCTTCATCATATCATCCACCTTTAATTAATACCTATTATTGATATTATGCAATTTGCACAGTGTGAAAAATTAAGTCAAGCGCGTGTACCTCGCCACGTTTATTCTTCAAAAATAACAGTCGTTCTTGCCCGACCTTTCAAATGTTGAGGCCAAGCCTATTTAATATTATGAATACTTGTCCCAGCAGGTCCCATACTTCCATATCTAGGAAGAAAGAGAAATTTATAAGTTAATTAACCTGTTAATTAAAGAACCACCAGAAAACGGTCAATATATATGGCAATATATAACGCTTAGTATGGATTACCCATCATTCCAGGTTGCAATTGTTTTGATTTGTGTAACCGTGAGAAGTTTTCCGTTACCGTTACAGTCTATTAAAGTCCACTGCTGCACATAGGCAGAGGTTACCTCATAGGGGGATATTTGCCATAGTTGCCACTCTTGGCAAGCGGGTTTAGAAGTTTAAAATAAATTATAAATTATCCACTTTAAAAACAGCTTATCGCTTATCATGTGACGAACTTAATTTAAACATATTCAACCGTGGTTCAGTTTTTGCATGGTGCAAGATGGCTGAAGTTCCCAAAAATATTTTCCGATGGTTTGGACGCCAAGGAGAATACGAAACGGCGAGGACAAATTAATTTTAATGCTAGATCTAGTAAAAATAATTCCAACTTTACACTTTGACAGTCCTTAGAAGTTACCAAGCATGCGCACATTGACTGGTGTAGATATCTTGGAGAGAGCAAATCGCTCGTACCCTCCACCCTGATATCGTGTTTTGATGAGCGCAGGTTTTACATTACCTACGAAACTTTATTACATAGTATTATAATGTTTCAGAACCTCCTCAACCAACAGCAGACTGTCCCCATCAGTTTGGTTACTTCAAACTTGGCGATGAGAAGAACTGCAGCTTCTTCAGGAACTGTGTGAATGGAGTAGGATACGACTTCTCTTGTCCTGAGGGTCTCGCTTTTAGTTCGGACGTGTACAGGTGCGAATGGCCCGACCAAGTAGCAGACTGTGACGCCGAAGGTAAGGACCTTGAAATTTTAAATTCGGAATAATCGAATTTAAATAATTTATTAATACAGTTGTCACCAGTCTTCGTAGACTTTTATGTTAGCTACATTATATAAAATGAAAAGCATTAATTAAATTCTTCTAATACTATTTATAAAACTCACACCGGATTCACACTATGACCTTTGACGATAAATTTTTATTTTAAGACAGAAAGATCTATGTCTACACATCCTAGTATGAGTATGTATTTTGTTCACAAAATTCTTCACAACATGCTGATGGGTCACATTGTGAAGTTTTTCTGAGATTTTGTCGATTGCTTAAACCAGCGGACAGTCGCAGGCGACAGTAATGACAGTATCTCAAGTTCTTAAGGCGCTCTTAACATATTGTTTATATCAACATTAAAGCACTTGTTTTGTTGTTTCCTCTAATACGACTTTTTATTTTTCTTTTGTTTTAAAAAAAGAAAGAGATAATGTTACGTAAACGTAAACGTTACTACCATTCTAGGATAGGAAATACATGTTCCGTGCGGGAATCCGCGGCCCGCAGCGCTGCAATTTAATGCCAAGCCACTGCGCCACGGGGCCGTCTAAGTTTACATGCGAAGACACTTAATACACAAAATGGCATCACTTTTATTTTATGTATCAAAATATAAACCATTATTTATACCAACAATAACAACAGGAACGGTAATCCATGGTCAAGTTTTCGCCAAAATACTTAAAAACGCATTCTAAATTTGAATACAGAAGAATAAAGAAAAAGCTATACTAACGTTATTTATGGCCAGAACAGTATAGTTAACATAATATTCTTATAATATCATTATATTAATTTTATATTATTTGATAAAAATGTTAGGGGTTAAAGTATGAAATTGCCGTTACATATTAAAATCAAACACCTTTATTTATTTAACAGTAGTATCCGGGCTCATTATTTATACATTTATGCCATCTCGAGGGAAGATTTCATGCCTCTGCTATAGAATTCTGGGAACGACTCTACGAAGCCTATGAAGGTATTGGGTACCGCTTCCTGGGAACAAATTTTTTTCCTTGTAAGAAATGATCCAAATTGCAGCAAAAATGGTTATCGTGGGCTAGGTCTAGCAAATACGGATAATGACGTAACGTAATGTACATTCTAACAGAAAGTATTGTAGTAGAAAAACAGTATATCAAGCAGTAAGAGTTGTTGCGGTATAATGGAGTAATAATGGCGAAGATCGATTGACGATTGGGGGTTGTTTCTCTAAGAGTTTCAGCATCTTTTTTGAAGTTATTTCCAACATTCATCTACCGTTATTGATACACCATATCTCAAAAAGTTGTAATGAAATGCACCATGACGTGACCACCAAACAACGAGGGATAATAATCTTCCGCTCACCAGATGTCGCTAGTTGACTCTGAGGTGAAGGTTTTTGTTACACAATTTCATTTAATTGAAAAGTTAGTTTTAAATAAAAGTTTATCAGTTTCCACAGTATTTACCTTCACATTTTTCGAACAAATTAACTTCCCCGCTACGAAATCTATCAAATATTACATTATATTACACCCCATTTTTCATTGGCGCCGTCCTGGTGGCATGGATGCCCAGATTATCGTTACTTTCCTGTAGGTTAGTTTCACTTTATGACATTGTTTCAGCCTTTAACCAAGTCCAATTCAATTCAAGTCATTATACTTTTATTCTAAAAATCGCTTGCGATTGTTGTAGAGAATCTATTTTACATTACACGTCACAATTCTGTCCAAAATCTCTTCCTTTCTGTACCTACGTTTAAAAAAAGGCAAGCTTCCATATAGTGGGTAAATTTAAGTCAAACCATGACGCTATATCGGTAGTTACTTGATAAGGATCGGCTGCCACCATTGCTTTAAATTCATCGTTATTTACCTTAGTGTCTGGTCTACCTTGCGGTTCCTACTTCAAGTAGAAGTTTTCTACCGCGAAAGCGGTTAAACCAAAAACGCACAGTGCATTCGTAAGTCGTATGCTATCCAAAGGCAGCATTGATATTGCGATTTTGACTCAGCAGAGACAGCTGTCTCTGCTGAGTCAAATTGCTGTCAGATTGCTGATATTATAAGGAGTAATTTAGGCTACTTTTATTTTGAAAAAATAATTAGGGTAAAACAAAAAAAAACCTAAATTACACGCGGGCGGAGTTGCGGGGATCAGCTAGTCTATACAAATAAATAAAATTGAAGTGTCTGTTTTTAATGTCGTAGTAACAGATTTTTGCTATATATATATATATATATATATATATATATATATACATATATATATATATATATATATATATATATATATATATATATATGAAATATATACGGTACTTATAACAAAAACACAATTGTTAAAATTTTTGTCTGTCTGTCTTTCTGTCTGTTTGTTCTGGCTAATCATTTTGACCGGACTTTCACTGGCAGATAGCTGATGTCACAAGGAGTAACTTAATATACTTTTATTTTAGATAAAGAATTGGGATTCCGCGCAAAAAAAATCAAAATCCCAAATAACACGCGGGCGAAGTCGCGGGGAACAGCTATTATAAATCAGATTGTAATAATAATAATAATAATAAAAGACGCTGACAAATTATTTTCATATAAATTTTGTACATTTTCAGCTTTCCTCGGCTTCAAATGTCCTGAAGTACCAACCTCGAAAGAGCTGGGTCCTCCTACTGGATACAGATTCTACAGGTAATATAAAATGCAGTTATCAGTCAAATATAATAATATAATTGAGTAAATTTTTAAATTTTGCAAATTAAGCTTACAAGGAATTTCCAATGTTACCTTTAGAGATTTTTTAAATTTTTGATACCTACACCTAAATTTAAAACGTCAATTAATTAAAATGTTAACATATTTAAAAAGTATTCAATTTAAATTATGACTTCATAGTACCAGTGATAACAACTACATTTTTATCAAAAAGTAAAAACAAAAACTTATTACCCGACCATGTAAGTAATGTCTTGTCAAATTAATAAAACATTTACAAATACTGTTATAATATTCATATTATCTATTAGAATAATGCGTAAATTAATACTTTCGTGACAAGTCTAGCAGTGATTAAAACGTTATTGAACAAAGGAAACAGGTTACCCAATACACGACCGGTCATCGGATGTGAGGTCGTCGCTAAATGTCAACGGATGAGCAGCGACCTTGCAGTTATGTAATAACGTTGTTAAAATACCAGACACTAAGCGATTGCATAAGAACTATCCGACATTTTGAATTGTTTAGGGAGTATAGAACGTCGCTGTTTTGTTTAAGAGCGTAGACGGGCTGCATTTTTTCCATACCAATGTATTCCCCTATTCTCTTCCTGGATAATGCCTCTAGAGTTATCGGTTTTGTTTATAAAAATCTAGGTATATTGAAGGCATGCCCCTGTCATTTATTTTTTCCAAAAAATTATTACAAAAATAAATATGACTTTCCAAAAACCTAAAAAAATGCCCCGTTTTTACCTCCGTAATCAGACGACTACCAACCAAATTTGAAAAGGTTTTAAGATAAAAACAAGTGATAGGAACATAGATCTATTCTTCTTTTAAATTTTGATACCAAAAATAACTTAATCGGCTTAGTTTTCGAGGAGAAAACAGGGGAATACGAAACGTCGATCGGTCATGGTTTTTGTAGGTAAAATCGTTCTGAGCTGCAGTTGTCCCTATCGCACTCTAAGGGGGAAGACCAGAGGTGAGGGATGGTTAGACTAATAAGAACTTATTAGTCTAAACAATTAGGAAAGTGACAACTGTGGAAGTTTTTATCGATATCATAGTGATGTCAGTCGATATCGACGTTTATCCTATACTAATTTAAAGGCGACACAGAACAGTGAAATTAATAAGACAACGAAGTAACAATTCAATGAATTTACGTTTAGTATTATTTGAAATGAACTTTATCGAACTTTAGTGGAATAATAAGTAACTAATATTAGCATTCTATTGCTTGGTGAATAATTCTGTTCAGATCCTGACGTGATGACCATGGAAAAACACGAGAAGTATGTTGTTTCAATGCCTATAAAATTTGTGGATTGCCCTTAATTTTCTTGGGATCCCATCATCAGATCCTAACTTATACCTTCCATTATCATCTCCACAACATGAGATGATGATTACTAGGCACAAATAGATGCGTTAGAAAGTAGGTACATGAAAAACATTATATGTGCCTATAAAATTTGAGGGTTACCCTCGATTCCCCTGGGATCCCATCATCAGATTCTGACTTGATGACAATGGGACCACCTTACTAGCTGACTGAACTGAACTACTATTTTTTTTTAAATCTGAAGGGACAAAATAACTTATAATCGATCCGACGGTTAGTGGTTACTGCAATCTGTAGACAGCCTACTTTAAACAAAGAAGGCTACAAATACGTTGTCATTTCTTTTTTTCTGCCGACTTCCAAAAAGGAGACGGTACTCAATTCGAGTGTATGTTTTTTTTATGTGTGTTACCTCATAACTTTGTACTGGGCGAACCGATTTCAATGATTCTTTTTTTATATGAAAGCTGATAGTACGCGTGTGGTCCCATATGAATTTGATCAAGGTCAGACCAATGGTTATTGAGTTATTCTTAAATAACTTATATTGAAGTCGCTTATATTGAAGTCGGCTGCACAAAATTTTTAATTTTTAGTAATTATACGATAGGGTGACAAGCGAGCACACAGTCCACCTGATGGTAAGTGGTTGCTGTGACCTATAGACATCTACATCTATCCTCAATAAAAAAACAAAATTCAGATGCGTTGTCACCCGTGACGACTAAGATGGAATGTCTCTTTTCCAGTAAAAAGGGTATCCGGTTCTCTACACGCACCATACGAAACATGCAGTGTTAAGCTGCTATTTTACGCTGGCATTCTGTGAAAGCGGTACCTTGAGGATCACCAGCTGATTAGTGACCGCCAGTACGGTTTTCGTCGGGGTGGATTAGCTGGTGATCTTCTGGTCTACTTAACTCATAGATGGGCGTTGGCAGTAGAGTCCAAGGGGGAGGCATTGGCCGTTAGTTTGGACATTGCGAAGGCCTTCGATCGGGTTCGGCACAAAGCGCTTCTTTCGAAGCTCCCTTCCTATGGGCTTCCCGAGAAATTATGCAATTGGATCACCAGCTTTCTTGCAGATCGGAGCATCAAGGTCGTTGTAGACGGTGCATGCTCCGACTACAAGCCTATTAACGCTGGTGTTCCACAAGGCTGCGTGCTATCACCAACGCTGTTTCTTCTGCATATCAATGATATGTTGCAAGCCGGTAGCATTCATTGCTATGCGGATGACAGCACTGGTGATGCTCTCTACACCGGCCGTGCCAATATTTCTCGGGAAAACGTCACCGAGTACCGGAACAAACTTGTGTCTGAAGTCGAGTCTTTGCTGGACAAAGTCTCGGATTGGGGGCGACTAAATCTAGTCCAGTTTAATCCTCAGAAGACACAAGTTTGCGCGTTTACCGCTAAAAAGAACCCCTTTGTCGTATCTCCTCAGTTTCAAGGTACTCCCCTTGTTGCCTCAGCCAGTATCGGAATCCTTGGCGTCGACATATCGAGTAGCGTGCAGTTTCGTGGTCACTTGGAAGAAAAGGCCAAATTGGCCTCTAATAAGCTTGGCGTGCTCAGCAGAGCGGGACAGTATTTCATGCCGGCTCAACGCCTGCAACTTTACAAGGCGCAGGTTCGGCCTCACATGGAATACTGTTCCCATCTCTGGGCTGGGGCTCCCCAGTGCCAGCTTCTTCCACTTGACCGCATCCAGCGCAGAGCGGCTCGAATCGTCGACGACCGAGTCCTTTCCGATCGGCTCGACTCATTGGCACTGCGAAGAGATGTTGCATCTCTTAGCATTTTCTTTCGCATTTACCATGGGGAGTGCTCTGAGGAATTGTTCGGATTAATCCCAGCCGCCAAATTTCACGAACGCACATCGCGGCAGAACTCCCGATACCATCCACACCATCTGGATGATTGGCGGTCCACCACTGTGCGATTTAGAAGATGTTTTCTTCCTCGCACAACTTCCTTGTGGAATAGTTTACCACCAGCGATTTTTCCGGACCGATACGACTTAGGGACCTTCAAGAAAAGAGCCTACTCCTTTTTAAAAGGCCGGCAACGCATCTGCAATTCCCCTGGTGTTGCGGTTGTTCATGGGCGGCGGTAGTCACTTACCATCAGGTGAGCCGCATGCTCGTTTGCCCCCTCTCCCATAAAAAAAAAGCATGGTCCTTCCCCGGTCGAGCTACAAGCATAATATAGCTGCAGCATGGCTCTACCACGTAGAGCCAAGATGGAATGCCTCACAGCCCAATGTACCCAAACAAAATCCTAGGCAGTAAAGTAATTCTATTACCTAGAAATGTTTATACAGAGTTATTTTGTAATAACCGGCCAAACTTGCAGAGACGGTCCAGAAAAAGTAATATAGGAAAATGGTGAAGAAAAATCTATAAAAAAAAATCTCAAACTTTCTGTCTTTTTTATCATTTAAATTTAAAATGCGTGGTAATGCAATATTTTAACTTATTTTACTGCGCACACACACATTCGTAAGGGTCAATTGGTAGGCAAAACCGTTGTTGCCCATAAACCATATTCAATTTGGGATAATTTCAAATACAAATAGAAGCCTTATTTGCTAGTATTTTCAAAAACTGCAATAACGGTATATCATTATTTATATATTCGACTAATTCAATTTAAAATTTTGCTACTTTTTGAAAAATAGCAATTAATAAAATTGTAAATCGTTAGGTAAGACTATGCAAATATTTGCTATATTAACATTACCAAAGTGCAGTCAAATAAATTTGAGTAAATTCATAATGGATTTACAAATATCTTGGCAAAAAAGGGCTCGGTACATATGATAATATTGTAAAATTTCATTAACGTCTCAAGTAGCTACCAATCCGCCTTCGCAGTAATCCTTTTTGCATTATATTGCAAACTCTTCAATTCCTCCTAAATTAACAATCTTTTTCTTTGTACTTACCCGATCGAGCCGGCCAATTCGTGCTAAATTCATAAAACGTTGCTAAATATAAAAATAAAAACAATTTATTATTTCAGATCGTTGACTAACTGCCAGAAGTATTTCATTTGCATTGATGGAAAGCCTCGCAGCTTAGGTTGCGGCGGTCATTCCGCATTCGACGAACTAACTTCATCCTGCGTGTCGGCTGACGAAGTCGATGCTTGTCCTGCAGAGCTAAAAAGCGCTGCCGCTCGCTCTAGAGCTGCGGAAAAACAGCGTCTTACTGATGCGGAATTCGATAACAAGAAGCAGCTACGAAGCCAACCGCTTATCAGCACCGTAACGCCAGCACCTTATAAGGAAACTCCGTACACGGTATCAAAAACACGAAAAGTACAATACACTACAGTAACTGTTACGCCTGAGTATTACGACGAATATGTGACTCCAACCACTGGTAAACCCACACGAGGAAAACGAAGGTTCTGAGATATGATGTAAAATTCGATAAAATATCGCAACTTCATCAAACGGTTGTTATAGTATAATTTTAAAAAATAAAATAAAATAAAATTTTAAAGTCATCAAAACTCTAATAATTTATAATAATAAAGTCATTGTTATTATACATTAACATTTTTTAATTTATCATATTGAATATCATTATTGGATGAATTAGTGGTTTATTTACCTGCATTCCTAAAACGATACCGGGGTAGGTAAAAGAATAAACGCTTGCCATAAATATTGTTTAAAAAAAAAACGTTACCCCGACACTAGGATTTTCTCCTGTATCGTGGGGGCAGTTTACAAACACAAATTGTACAAGGACAAATATCCACACCCGGAACAATTATTTGCAGGCCATACAAATACTTGTTCCGTGCTGGATTCGAACTCGCGGCCCCCAGCGCAGCAACTCATTGCTAAGCCACTGCGCCACGGAGCCGTCAAATGTCGTATTAAATCGAGTTAGTCTTCCGGTGGTACCCATTAAATTGTTAGTTCTAAATGAAATGCTGTTATAACACTGCTGATTAAAGTGTAGAAGGAGAACATTATTTACCTATATTTTTTAATAGGATAAGGGTGACAAGCGAGCACGCAATCCACCTGATGGTAAGTGGTTGCTGTGACCCATAAGTATCTACATCTATGCTCGTTTACGAATCAAAATGCAGAGCAGAGCTCATCACACGAAACACAGCATCATTAAGCTGCTATTTTACGCAGATATTCTGTGAGAGCGTGGTCCTTTCCCGGTCGAGTCGACCCATTCATTATACATAACATAGCTGCAGCATGGCTCTACCACGGTTTAAATATACATCTACGTAAAAATATCACCACACTGACTGACTGGCAGAATGCATAAAGCCGTTCACAACACATTTGCCTTTTGTATTCCTTTATGCGAATGCAATAAAGATACAAGAATGAAATAAAAAAATACAAGAAATCTTGCTTGCCTAAGAAATTAGAAATATTTTGAGGGTCTGTAAAGGCCGTCAACAGAGAAAACCAGGGCTTATCACTCTATTTCGCTATTACAGAATGATTTTATGACCTCCAACAAATGGCGGATCTAATTTACAGATATAACTCCGGCAATTCATGTTGACCAAGGCTCAGGAACGCGAGCGTAGGCAAATTGATACAAGGCTAGTGCTATAGTCTACATGTTGGTCAAGTTCGAAAGATACTAATGCCAACTGCCAATGCTCACGAGTTTTTGTGTAGCTATCTACATGTTGGCCGTAGTTAGTTTTCATTGAGAATTGGAACGATATGGATGACGTAGAAGTTATTGCAGCTTTTGCTATTTATTTAACAAAATCATATAATTATTATGTCAGTGTAATCCGCAGTAAAGTTGTAAAAAAGAAGAGGCAGTGACGTTGACGAAATTATTTTCAAGTTGCAACGTAATTAAAACATAACATCTCACCGGGACGGACGCCAAGCTGTAATTGACGTGGCCGACCAACATGTAGGTTGTGGACGCGACTTGCCAAGTGGAGGTGAGTTCCTTTGATTTGTGCAGAAAATCCGACACTGTTCCGAATTGAGACGAATCGTAGCGGGCGTTCCCTAGTGGTAGCAAGGCACGCCAAACGAACCTTTATACACCTAGCTGGCCGAGTGCAGGCGAGCGCGAACGAGCAATTGCGGGGCTAGACAAATGGGCTGTCTATACGTTGGTACTCGCCTTCGCCGGCTATGGACTTTGATGGTCTAGTAAAGTGAAGAGAGAAAATGTACGACCTCAAAAATGTTCCAATCTACGTTTTTCATTTCCAGAAGTTGTTATAAGAGATAGAAAATGACCGAACTTGTTGCCTACAAAATCATGCAGTCCCGTTACTTAGTTTTGTATGAATGAATGAATATACTTTTATCGTACACCGCAAAACAAAAGGATACAGAAAACATATTATCGGAGTTACTACTATGTTGGTCTATTGGTCGTATGGTAGTCAATCATGTGGTCACAGGTTTGAATCCCGGGTCGAGCCAAAATAGGCTCTTAACAGAAAAACTCAAGCAGCCTGGTGTCGGGAAATAGGCGGTGTTTTACCCCGTGCCTCAGAAAGCACGTAAAGCCGTTGGTCCTGCACCTGTTCTCTCTCCGGTCGTGTTTGATTACCGTCTAATCGGACTATGGAAGTTAGGGAATAGAGAGTGCAACTGTGTTTGTGCACACACTCGTACAGTATAATCATATCTGGTGCTCGTTGATGGCTCGTCTCCGTTGACACTGGCCGCTGTGTCCAAAATTCAGTCTTGAAAACATAATTATTTATCATCATCATCATCAGCTAGCTGCTGACCACGGAGGCCGGCCCGTCAGCAGCTCCTACATCTGCAACACCTGACTTAGGTGCTCTGATGATGATGCTGCAGGAGCAGGCCCGCCGACAGGAGGAACAGTCCCGTCGGTTGAAAGAGCAGCTGCAGCGCGGTATGGAAGAGTAGATGCTCCTCAGGAAGGACCTTCATGCTACCTTCGGGAAAGAGATAAGGGAGGTGAAGGATAGGGTTGCTCAACATGACAACCGCCTGTCGGAAGCTGAAACCCAAATCGACCAAGTAAACAATCGGGTTGACAACGTGATGGCTGACTTGAAGAAAACCTCAAACTTGGAGATGGAGTTACAGCTCCCGTGGTAACTACAATACCTTCGCTACGCGGATTCAAAGTGCCGCCGTTCGACGGGACTTCTTCCTGATCGGCCTACAAAATCCAATTAGAGTCTGTCATGAAGGCGAACGGTTTGAATAAAAGTCAGGCCATGACTGCTCTCACCCTAGACCTGCGTGACCAGGCCTTAACTATTCTGGAAGCTCTCGGTAAGGAAGTGACTTACGAGCACCTCCTTGAGGCGTTGGAGGCGAGATATGGCGACGCTCACCTGGAACACGTCTTTCGTGCTCAGCTCAAAGATCGCGTGCAACGCAGCAATGAAAACCTGCAGCAGTGGGCCCTTTTGGTGGAGAAGCTGGTTCGAAAAGCATACCAGTCTGTACCTGTGCTCATTGTTGGGAACTTGGTGTAAACATTCATCGACGGCATCCGCGACCTTGAAGTCAGAGCTGCTATGAAGCTCGGGCACCACGAGACGCTTAAGGACGCGTTGGCCCATGCACTGAAAGTGGAAGCCGTACGACAGAATCATCGTTCCTATCGCATCAGGGAGGTTGCAGCGGCTACAGTTCAGGACCACAATAAAGGATACAGCCTTAGGTGCTACGGCTGTGGGGAAAGGGGCCATCTTCGATCCCGCTGCCCTAAACGAACTGTAGAAAGGGAAGGTGATCGATCTCGAGAGGGTTGTGTGGCTAACAGCACCGCCCAGCAGCAGCAACTTACTACTTTCTTGTTTCATACGGCGGAATATGTGTATGAAAGTTTCAGTATTAAAAATAAATAAATTGTTTATCAACTTATATACAATAATTTACTATATTTACTGTTTCGTATGGTGTTGGCGTGGTGAATTCTTATATGCCACCGCTACATGGCACAGCGCTTAAAGACTTAGAACGACATGGAATTTTGAAAAGTCAGTTGTCAAAAAAGTCCGCCGATCATTATTTGAAAAATATGTAATACATTTTCAGATTACACTCGTGGACAAATTTAGAGGAAAGCAATAAAAAGGTTTAATTTCTTATGTTGTAATTATAGTGCGTACTGGACACAAACTATTAGTAAAGGCTAAGAAACAAAGTTAAAAAAAAACAAAGTTTGGGAAGGTTTTTTTCGAATTAAATTTTTTATGTAATTGTTGCGTAATATTGCATTTATTGTGAAAAATATTGCCAGTTTTGAGAATGCCAGAACTAAACGCCACTCAAGTAGGTAGGACTCTTACTTTAACTGAAACTGGGTACACCTACAAACATGTGGATGTGGTTTAAAAATAACAAGAACGAAGCTCCAAGAAGTTCGAGGTCTTACGGTAAGCACAAAAACTGTAAAAAAAAGACATACATAGACAAATCGGCCGGAATAAATACACACCTACCTGCCACATATGCTTATTTTCTCCCACACAGTCACACATTTACACATTGTTACCACATGCCATGGAGTAGCCCGAGCTGATTTTGCTCGCAATCACGAAAATTGGAATGATAAAACTTATAGTCAAGTTCCATACAGTTCAGTGCAGATTTTGTCTGAAGCCAGATGATGGAATGACTAAAGGGTGGAGACACTCGGGAGAGAGGTACGTTCAATGCAACATCATTGAAAAAGAGGCATAACTATAGTGGAGGTTCAATTATGGTATGGGGAGGTATTTGCATCCCCATACAAATATCACCCCATTCACGTGCGGAACCCCGCATCATTGAGTCACTAACAGCGACACGATATGTAACTCAGATCTTGGAATAAATAGTAGTGCCATTTGCCCCTATTTTATAGAAGATAGATTTGTTTTTATGCATGATATATTTTACCCACATACTGTAGCCAAAGTTGTCGAATAACTTCGAGACGTTGAAATCAATGGATATATAGGGTGGCCTCGCGGTCACCTGACTTTAACCTTATAGAGTACTAGCTGTTCCTCGCGACTTCGGCCGCGTGTTATTTTGAGTTTTAATTTTTTGCGCGGAACCCTAATTCTTTTTCTAAAATAAAAGTAGCCTAAGTTACTCATTGTGACATCAGCTATCTGCCGTTCAGCCGTGTCGGAAATTAGCCAGAACAAACAGACAGACAGACGGACAGACAGACAGACAAAAACTTTAAAAATTGTATTTTTGTTATTAGTACCATATATACTTTCATATGCATTAAGTAAAAAGCTGTAATTTTGACATTACAAACAGACACTTCAATTTTATTTATTTGTATAGATTTATGGGATAAGCTTGTAAAACAAGTTGAGAAAAGAAATCTTGACCCCATCAATTTGAGAGATCTTAAAAATAGAATTCAAGAAGAATGTAATGCAATTATTTTATTGATAACTTGATTAGGAATATGCCAAGGAGACTGGAAGAAATGCGAAGAGCACGAAAGGGGAAGATTAAGTACGGATTATAGCCCACGTTATAGCTTATCCTAAACATTTGTAAAAAAAATATAATATGTTAGGTACAAAAAATTTTCTTTTTAGTAAAATTTTTATTTTTCTCTCTATTTGGCTAATTTTTGTCATTTTATCGTTTGTTTTTTCCGCTTTGTAATTTTAAATTAACAAATAAGAAGAAAATTTCAAATTAATAAACTTAATCCTATATTGTTTTATACACACTTTTATTGTTTTCCTCTGAATTTGACCATGAGTATATTTTTTTTCCCCAATTTTCTCCCCAAATATTTCTAAATTTCAAAATTCGAATACTCAATTGAAAGGGAAATAAATTCAATATATTCCTTTCAATATAGTATTTGACTTTTCAAATTCAAGTCAATGTTTGAACAACTGCAAAGCATGCCTATAACTATGGCTAATGTTATCATATATGTGAAACTAGCTGTTCCCCGCGACTTCGTCCGCGTATTATTTGGGGTTTTAATTTTTTTTACGCGGAACCCTAATTATTTTTTTAAAATAAAAGTAGCCTAAGTTACTTCTTGTGACATCAGATATCTGCCAGTGAAAATCCCGCCAAAATCGGTCCAGCCGTTTCGGAGATTAGCCGGAACAAACAGACAGACAGACAAAAACTTTAAAAATTGTATTTTTGTTATTAGTACCGTATATACTTTCATATGTATTTAGTAAAAAGCTGTAATTTTGACATTACAAACAGACACTTCAATTTTATTTATTTGTATAGATAATTTTAGAGAAACTCCTTTGTGTGTGACAGACAGAGACACAGAGACAGACACCGAGGGGATTCCATTATAATAGTGTTCCGTTTAATTAATTTTACATGAAACACTAATGATGTTGGAAAACTGAAGCACAAGCAAGCAAAACCACGGTAAAAGGCTAGTCTTCAAAATACGAGTATATTCTTTGCTAATTAATAAAACTTAACTGTAATAAAACCACAGACAAATTAGTTTTAAAATTAAAGTATTAGTATAAATATTGACTGCACCACGTGAAAGTCATCATTTGCATACTTCCCGCAGAATAGTACAACTGGAATTTTTTAACTACAATTAGAAAAATGTTTTTCTTTATTTCCATTGCTGGGCTGTTTGTAGCTTCATGTAAGTATACACAAATTAATATTTATTTCTTAAAAAAAAATCTACCTAATTTATAATTTTATAAATAATAAATTGTGTTGAAATTGAAGGTGCTGCACAAGTGCAACAAAATGGAGCTGTAGGTGATACAGTTTGTCGAGAATACAACACTTACTATAAAATACAAGGCAGTTGTGATTCCTATGTCGAATGTAACGTAAGTAATTGACTTGCATGACATATTTTAAGTATAAGATAATTAATAAAGCTATTGGCTATATGAAAAAGGGTTATTACCTATTATAATGAGGAATAAATGGATGATAATAACCCCCGGGAATGATGTGTTGAACGAGTACAATCATAAATTTAATCTATTTCTGTACAAAAAATACTTGCTGGGTTTATATTTAATTAAATTATTACCATTGAAATAAAAATCTTTTTCTATTTCTTTCTCATTTTTTGCAGGCATACAAGGCAACATACAAGACTTGCCCTGATGGTCTTTACTTCATCCGCGATGTAGAATGGCCGACATACCCTTGCGCGTATCCGTCAGATGCGCAATGCGACGCCCAAGACGCGCCCCGTATGTGTTGTTATTAATTGAAATATCTGCCATGTAAACCCTGGACTCCTAGATTTTACTTACCTTTTCACGCGTTTTTTATGCACAGAGAAAGCTATGCCAACAGAAGATTGCAAACACCAATACGGTTTCTTCGCGTCGCCATTAGCTACACGCTCCGATTGTGGCAAATACCGCATGTGTGTGGAGGGCAAAGCATTCGAAATGGAGTGCTCAATGGGTCTTGCCTTCAATCCTGAGACCGGTCGCTGCGACTGGCCTGATCTCGTCCCCACTTGTGACGCAGAGGGTATTTGTTAATCAGTTTCATTTTTAAATGATAATGATACAGTTTGTTGATAAGGAAGTAATCAAGTTTCTATTTCAGCATACCTCGGTTTCAAATGCCCTCCGGCTACGTACGACGAGTTCGGCAAAGCGTATGTTGTGAACTTCAGGTAATTTCATATTTATATTAATAACGGGTTATTATATGAAGTGAAATAGATTTTGAACTATGAATATCTTAATTACATTTATTTCATGTCAACAGCATTAAGGGCAGCTGCTACTACTTCTTCTCGTGCATGGAGGGCGTAGCGCGTCTGCTGCTCTGCGATGAAGGATACGCTTTCGACTCAACCGTCAACCGCTGCATGGACGCTAGGCGTGTGCAGTGCCAGGAAGGACAATGAAATTCTCGATATTTGACTTTTTAAATATTGTTTATTTATGTTAAGAATAACATTAAAAATAATTTATTACACATCTACAATAAGTACGTTTTACTCAATACTTTCAATTCATCAAATTACAGTAAACATTTTTTGCACCATTTTATTTCAAAACCTTTATTTTACCTAGCCTTAAATGTGATCCAGTATATTATTTCTCTGCGATATCTATATTCTTTTTGGGAAATTTAATATTTAAATAATTTAAAGTAAAAACAAACTCCATAAACAAATAGAACTTAATTCTTCGATACATTATATTTTGGCACCGAATTCCAAAGCTATAAAATTTTTATATATAACTTAAAAATAGTAAAATTATTAAAATTCAAAATACAAAAATCAAAAAACTAAATATTCTAAAATTATGATATTTTAGAATTTTTCAGTTTTTAGAATTGAATATCTTGAATTTTAATATTTTTACTAATTTTAAGTTTTTTTTATTTTTAGTAACTTTTAAGTGGACTAAGCCTTATTACAACCTCAATATAACTGGTAGAATGTCGTCTAAACAGTAGCATAAACATTTTCAGTTCATATTTTGACCGACTTCAGAAGCTATTGTGTGGATTTTTTTGTTATCGAAGTCGGTTTGACTTTTATATTAAAGCTTAATTATTTATTTATTTAATCTTTACCATACACCTAATAAGGGATAAAAAGGGCGGACTTAATGCCTTACTACGTTCTCTACCAGTCAATCCTGGATATTTGGAGTAACTGTGGTAGGTTCAAACAATTAATTTAATAAAATAAGTAATAAAGTTGTAAGATAATATAATCCAAAAAAAATTATACTACGAACTAAGTCTGATTGCTAATTTTCATATATGGGATATATGACCATTGAAGCTTTGCGTCTAGTTTTATTTCAAGAAAAATAGTGGGACAGACAAGACTCAGTTTCTCTCCACATTGTTGACAAATGTTAGACATTTGGAGTCATGAACTTCATACATTTCGTTTTAGTGCCACTTAAATGCAAATTATTAACATTAAACATAGAAATCGGGAAAAGTCACAAAGTTACTTTAAGTATTTTTCTATCTGTAAATACTTCAAATTAACATAATAAATAAATTAAACGAAAAAAGTGTTAAACTAAATTATACAGTATGTAAAGCTTAATATAAGTAAAAAAAAAAAATGCTAAATCGCCGCCGTCTATTGGTGGTATGCCCAATAGACTGACTGACTTGCCTCGCTGTATTGCAAGGCTAACCCGCTGACCAAAACATCTGCCAGCTTTTGGGTCACCAGAAACATTGACGAGGCGTGATGAGGTATCTCTGTACAAATGCCTTGCTTCAGCACCCCACTGCCCCAGCGTTTCTACACCAAACGGCACAAACATGTATCCCTCACCGAGGGCTGCATATTTACGCCGCTTGTTAGACGCGGCAACAGCAGCAGCCGCACCTGCCTTCTGTGCAGTCGCCGCGAGATGTTATGGCGCTAATGTGTCAACACAAGTCGCATCCCATACTAAGGAGCGCCCATTTTTCCATGGAATGAGCGTCATTCCATCAGGCCTCTTGCCATCGTCCCGCAATATACCACTTGGCTCTAAAATTGCAGGTACGTTGGCACTGGTTAAGGCCCCTCGAATGACGTCATTAAGAGCTGCATGGCGAGGGATGCGACCAGCGCTCCGCTGGCACGCCAGGCCGTGGTGTCCGAGAAATTTTAAATATCTAAATTAATAAATTAAACCAATTTGCTAGTTTAGATATAGCATTATTTTCTTCGTCACATTTTAATAATTGTCGTTTTAAGTTAAAAATTGATTGTCTTCAGCAAATAATACTATATTACGGTTATCCCCTACTATGTAAAGTAAGTCATTAATATATACGAGAACTATATTCTAAATTAATGAAATATTATAACCGCTAGAGATTACCTCTATTGTCTCATTTTGTACTTTAAATTATTTGGAACTGATTCTAAATTACATATTAAGTCATTTAGAAGCAAATGTCTGTGTAGCCAAGTCCTTGGCTAGTTAATATATAAACAATTAGATAGCACATTTGCTATCTGTCGTAAATTAAATTTGGATAGGTAATACCTATCTCTAGTCAAAAAATTCTTAATTAAATTATTTATGTCTATTAAATTAATTCTGTTATTATAATTATAACAATTAAATATCAAGTTTAAATTATTATTACATTTACATTTAAATCGTATCTTATTTTATTTTCCTGTGGTCAGCTAATTATTTTATGTAATTTAAAGTATTTGGATAATGAATAATTGCCTCTTCTTCCAACAAGAATTATTAGTGTGCTATTGGGGCAAATTTACTAAAACTAATAGCTAAAACTTTGTTCATTATATGACTAAAGGATGCTCCAGGCATGCAATAATTACTGATCAGATTCCCTTTTAAACAGTTATTTAACATCATGCCCAAAGTTTTGCCTGTGTCATCACAATACATAATGACTTTATTTATTTTTTTAGATTTTTAAATTACTTTTAAGTTAATATTCTTTGTCATAGCACCGTCCTAGAGTGTACTGAAAATAATGAGTCCTTATCGTTTTCATCATTATTCACACATATTGCCCCGATAAACGTGGTATGGAGCGCTGACAATCACTCTGATGTTTTATTAGGCATTCATGGCCAATATGTGTTCTTTTATCTCATCCTAAGCCGATGTATAATTATTTGATATAATTTGTAGGGAGTTTTTAAGTTATAAAATTGTTGAATTTTGACACTCTATTTCAGTCTCATAAGAGTTATTCATATTTTCCACCTCAATTGAATATAATTTAAGTTTATTAATTAATTCTTGCCTTTCCTTACATATATTCATATACCTTTGCACTTTCCTAATATATTTATTAATTTTTATGTAGTTCTTTAATTTTCTTTTACTGCAGGTAATCCTTGCTGCTGTTCTTGTTGTGACATACATAATTATCATCAGTCATATCGACTGTTGTAGAGGGTTGCAATGTTTTAGAAGATTCACATTCTATAAGCTAATTGAACAGACTTTGAGCTTGGGACGCTTTCAATTTATCTATGTACTTACTTATTTACTTATCTTCACGCACAATCCCTGACGGGGTAGCCAGAGAGAACAGATCGCCAAGTGTCACGATCCTTACAAACCTCTTTCGCTTCTTTCAGATTCATTATCTTCTTCATGCATGCACGTCTAGGTATCCGAGTACTTTTGACCCTACCCTCTTCGAGCAATTTGCTCACATGGTCTTCGAAAGTTAGTCTCGGTCTACCTCGACACCTTTTAATATTAACTTTCGCGCTATATATTTTCTTCACCATTCGGTCTTCACTCATTCGCTCAACGTGCCCAAACCACCGAAGCACGCCCTTATCAATTTTTGTGATAAGGTCATCTTTCAAACCTGCCATATTGCGAATCTCTTCGTTTCGCTTTCGGTCAGCCATGGTAACGCCGCACATTTTACGAAGAGATCGCATCTCCACTGCATTCAACTTACTTTTATGCTTCTTCTGGCATACCCAGGTTTCGCTGCCATATAACAAAGTCGGTACCAACACTGCGTTATGTATTGCAAGGCGTGCACTCTTCGCTACGCCTTGCCTTTTGACTAACGCAGTCAGGGCACCATTGACTTTGTTCCCGGCAGCGACACGCCTGTACACATCTAAATCACATCTTCCATCCCGGCTAAAAGCACTCCCCAAGTATACAATTTCATTTACCTGTTTTAGACATTCCTGATTTATCTATGTATTATTTTAATTGCACCATCTGCTCATTAGCCTCACTTAACTGTAACTGCAATGCAGCAATTAATCTGAGGGATTCCTCATATTCCTTGCTGCATGGTCAAACTCATCGACTGTTCTCTGAAGTCGTTCCCTTTCTTTTAAAACAAATGTGTATTATTTATGCAGCTCAACCATATCACTTTTTAGCTCATTATTTTAGCAATTATAATTATTATTTTCTTTTTATTGTCATCACTTTCTTTAAACTACAGCTCACAATGCTCCTTTGACGCCTTAAACTCTTGAAGCGCCATTTGAAGTTGGTTCTGCAATTGCCGCGTTTTGGCTCATTTTACTATTAAGGCGCAGGTTGATCAAAATGTCGCGCTAGTCGTTATTTGTGCGGTTTTTAGGAGCTATCTACTTTTTATTTAAAAGATATATCAACTAATAAAAAACACATTATATTTCTACATAATCTTAAGATAAAGATAAAGATAAAGATACATTTATTGCATAACTGTGTACAATATGATCTTAATATCTTGATTCCATAAAAGCTATATCCAATTTTTTTAAAGGAATAAATATTAATATAATCTCCTTACAACGAAACCACATAAATGTGAAATAATTATTGATAACATGCATCTCCTCGTAAAGTAAGTATTATTTTATTTTGCGATTTACACCAATGGATAGGCAATTTATTAATGAATTTCTATTATAAATTTTTTTCAAAAGACCAAAATTTGATTTTATTAAGAGATTATTTTAAAATCTGGGCGTATTCACTGCCCACGGGCTTGCTGGAGTCAGTGAGCGCTGAGCTCTTGAACGTGAAACCCGTGTCGTTAGTCAGAGCGTCGGCCAGCGCACACGCTCTCGTCATCTTATCAGTCGATAATATTATTACTTATTAGGTTATTTATAGGTAGTATTATTTGTTTGTTTTGGGTATAATTTTTCGTATTAGTTATACATATATTTGTTGTGTTTTTTACTGCGCGATGAAGCTTTTTGCGTGTATTTTCTTTGAAGTAAATGCAAATATAAAAATTAAGCACCATTAGCATGTAAAGTTTGTTTTGAATTGGGCGTTTAATTTCGTCTATGGTCGTCTAATAAGGCCCGGTCGGGTAAGTCGGCCTACAGGCGACTAATTCGGTCTGGGCGTCGAAGTTGGCCTATCTGCGGCATTGCGGGTTATTACTTGACTCTCTAACCAGAATATCAGA